TAATTAATTAATGTAGAGGAAATAAAATAGTTATTTATTTTAAAATTGGAGAGCCAGTTTGGAGTAGTGGTTAAGGCATCAGGCTAGAAACTGGGAGACTGTGAGTTCTAGTCCTGCCTTATGCACAAAACCAGCTGGATGACCTTGGGCCCTAGGAAGGAGGCAATGACAAACCACTTCTGGAATCCTGCCAGTAAAACTGCAGGGACTTGTCTAGGCAGTCATCAGGCGTCAATACGGACAAAGGCACGTACAAACAAAAAATTTAAAATTAAACTGGCCAAAATATCATTAGATCTCATACTAGAAGATGGAAATAGCTATTTCATAAGGTTTGTAAACACCATGCAGTGTCATTTTGACTGGTAGCATTGTCTATAAGTCCTGCATTGCAGCCCTCTTTCATGGTAACCATAGCCAAGGAGGGGGACTCACCCATTCACAAAACGATTTCTGTAAACGACCGTAGCGCTCTCTTCTGCCAGCTCTGATCGGATGCTGCTTGTTACCCCTATTTATCTAGGTCATTACAGGACAGGTGGGCACATTTCCAAACAACACATTGAGCTGCAGTTGTCATCATTTTAGTTTTTTAAGAATGTCTCTAAATCCTTTACTAGGAATTCTTAAATAAAGAGGCGGGCATTTCCATTTGTTTTAATTAATGTTTAAAAGACGGGAGGGGCAGAGACCTGGCTGGAATCAAAGGAACTGCGGGTGGGCCCACTGGTATCCACAAGTGCCACACTGGAGTCTTCAGTCCTATAGAAACCCTCCAATCAGACCCTGTATTATTTGTTCATGTGTATATGGAGGATGGAGGGGAATGATAATGGAATACAGACACTAATTATTTATAAAGCATGATGAAGGTTGCTGCAGAACAGCAGAAACTCCCCATAAAGATAATCTGTCTTGAGCGTTGGCCATGGTGAATGAGGCTGAAATGAGTTGGAGTCTAACAATGTCTAGAGGGGCACAGAGTCTTCCCTTTTGCTCTAGAAGATACTTAGGAAATTGAAAGCCTAAAATATAAGCTAAAGATCATTTCAAATCCTTCGTATTTGAAAGGGAGAATGCAGAAATACTGGCCTAGCTTAAAGAAGCAGAGGAAAGCAACCTGATTTTTCTTTCCTTGTCTTTTTATGCTGTATCAAGGGACTACAAAAAGTTTTTCTCTCTCCCTGAATTAATGAAAAATAAGCACAATAAAAACAGACATTCTTGCAAGAGAAGAGGACAGAACAAAAGTATTTCTACTGGCTAGTGACAAATAGTATCTGTTCCAGTAAAATCAATCTCTCTGCCTCTATCTTCCCTGTGCTGCTGTGTATTTTAATAGTTGCATTCAAATGTCTCCCATCTAAGTTAGGTTGATTTGAAATCTCTTTAAATTATTCTTATTTTATATCAGCAAAGCAATCCTAAAGTGGCGATAGGGAGAAACTGTGGCAGAGAAATGGGAGGACATATTTTTCATTCCCCCATCCCTGGTTAGGCATGTCACTGCCCCAATGGGAAGGAAAATAAATATGCCAACTAGAGTTCCGGGGTTTTGGGAGAACAAGAAGGATTCAGACCCACCATCACATTGGAATTGCCAGTTGTCAGCCAGGTCACCCATAAAGAACCAGCTATGAAGAACCAGCACAGAGGCAGCCTTGTGCCGCACACCTGAGAAGGCACGTGGAGACAGCCTTGGGTCTCTGCCACGGAAAGCTCCCTCTGGGGCATCTAACAGTTCCCTGCTTTCCTTTACTGTAATTTTCAAATTAATTAATTAATTAACTCATCAACATTCCCATGTCGCTCTTCTCCCAACAGTTCAGAGGGACATATATAGGAAAAAAAAACACACATTTTTCTCCTGTGTCAACTCAAGGCAGTGTACATACCTAATGCTCCTGCCTCCTTTTCTCCATAACCACCACCATGAGGTGGGTTAGGCTGAGAGAGAGTGACTAGCATAAAGTCACCCAGCCGGCTTTCATGTCTGAGAGAGATCTAAAACTCCCATCTCCTGGTTTCCAGCTCAGTATCTCAGCCACTACATCAATCTGGCTCTGTGAGCTTTCTATAAGAGCAAGCTGATCCATAAAAGGGGAGTGTAGAGGGAATAGGGAATGGCCTTGAAGGAGGGGAGGAGGAGCCACTATCAAAGCAATGGTTCAAGTCAAATTCATCTGTAAAGGTCGCCAGATATTTGTGGATATTGTAACCTAGCCTACCTCATAGGGGCATTGTAACAGAAGACTCTCAGCACTTTAGGGAAAAGTTAAGTAATTTGAATTTAGGTATTTAAGATTATTATCAGAAATTCCTCAGTATCACAGAAGTTGTGTTTTTTTGTTTTGCAGTGCTTCCAGATGAGAAAGAATTTCAGTATGCTGCTAAAACGAATAATCTGGACACTATGGAAAGGTTATTTAGGAAAAAAGTTAATATTAATGCTGTAAATGTTGTAAGTATAAAGACTTCCTATAGAGAATTCCTCTAACAAGCAAATGGTGTTTCTTCAATTTTATTTCATTTAATTTAGGAAAGATTAGTGATTATTCTTTAGTCCTTGGAACTTTTATTCAGCCTCCTCCCTGCACTAGAGCTGTGCAATATTGAGATCCAAGGCGAGCAGGAGGGAGCCCAGTCTCACTGTGCTGGTCAGTTGGTCCATGTAGAGGCTGTGCCTTTTTGGCCACGAGGACAAAATTTGGCCCAACATTGGAAAAGAAATACTTTGTCGACAATATCAGACTGGGAAATTGTCTGGTTCAGCCCAAGAACAACGAGGCAATCCAGTCCAGTATAGTTCCTTTATTAGCTTGCATCTAATAGACAGAATCTCGCCAGACTAAACCTATGCTAAAGCAGCTAGTGGATATACCCCGTGAGACTCTAGGGAGGGGCTAGCCTCATCCTCTTCCTCTTCCCACCGTCTTGCTGCAGACTGAGGAGGCGCTTGCTCTGGAATGTCCCCCCTCCCTCCTGATAACCTTGATCCTCCATTCCAGTATCTTCTTCGCTCAAGCCTTCCTTTACAGAAATGAAACTTCAGGAATATACAACAGTGGCAAAATTAATAGTGCAGTACACATCCAGAACAGAACTTTGACTAAATTTAAGCAAGAATGGCTCCCCTATATATCATATGTTACACAAAAAGCAGACTCAGACGATTAAGAGTATGGTTTTTAAGGGGAAAATAACTGATGTAAAGATAGTAATTAGAAGCAATTTCAGTGTTTATAAACATTTAAATGCAATCAACATTAGGTACAATGGGAGGGGATTTAGAACTTAATATTGTTTTTACTGATTTTTATCCTTTTTTAAATAATTTTTTTAATTTATTTGTTTTATTTTTTCCCCCTTTTTCCTTTTCTTTTCCTTTATATAGTTTGTGCATTTATTTCTGGAACAATGACAAATAGTGACAAAATCAATATTAATATTAACGTTTAGAATTTTATAGGTATTTTTCTTAAGATGATATAATGAACCTACTTCTATACATTTAATTAGTTAATTAATGAAATAATGAATTTTACATTTTATAATAATGGTAAATCATTTGTTTACTGATATTTTATTGTTTATTCACTAAGTCTTTTTCTATCTTTTTTTCCCCCTATCATGTAGTTACTTACTCTGTTTTTTAAATGTTCTAAACAAATAAATTATTAATTTAAAAAATAAAAATAAAACAGAAGCTGCAACTTTTCTTGGGCTTGTGCTGTAGCTGTGCAGGCTTAGGAAATTATGTGTTTTTCAGGATGCATTAGGGAGGTGGTGAGTCATTAAGCAGTGTAACATATTAGCCATAGACTCTTAATTTAATTTAATTTAATTTACTCAATTTAGGTGCTGTCTATGCTTAATTTTGCTTTTGATTTCTGTGTTTATTTCCTATAATTTATTTCATGTTTTAGCTGAAGCGCACAGCCCTCCATTTTGCTGTTGCAGGAAATCATCTATCTGCAGTTGACTTCCTACTCCATCACAAAGCTAGAGTTGATATTGCAGATAAGGTACACACAACTGATTTCTTATTACTATGTTATAGTAGCTGAAATAGACTTAGAGACTCTTTAATGGACACACAAGGAATCTGGTAGTACAGAGTCTGGTATGAGCTACCAGACTCATTCTGATTTTTGGCTAGCATAGACTAAAGATCTCTCCTCCTACAATGCATTTAATGGAAACACTAATTCTAATACCTCTGACTTACCTTGCCCAGGCTATGGGAAGAATTGAATTAATAATGTGTTGTTTTAGGGTCTTCCTCCTAAATAGGTAAGAAGTAAAATGACAGAGCAGTTCTAAAGGTGGCTAAAGGCAAGACTGAAGTGCTGTTTGATGTGGTGGAGACGCTGTTCTACTGCTGAAGAGAAGCACGAACAGAGCGATGGCACTTTCATTCCAGAGGGCCCCAGTAAACCCTCTGGTTACGTAGCATCAGCAGTGTTCCCATCAGCAGCAGAGCCCAAAACAGGATTCTCCGTGGGCATTGAGATGTGCAGGTCTAAATCATTCTCGTTTCCCCAACATGCCCTCAGATCAGGCCTATTTAGTTCCTCAGTCAGCCTATAGCTGTTATAGCTCTATCCCCTTCACAGGTATGGGGGAACAGAAAATGAGAAAATCTGCCCTCAGGCAAGTAAATGATTTGTTTTAGTATGCTCAATAGTTGCCGCAATCAGAAGAAAATTCAATCTTGCCAAGATATGTGTTCCTATCTTTTATTAAGAATCCTAAGGATTATTTACAGAATTGAAATAAATCAAATGTAAGCTATTTAAAATTATTTGAATTTAATTATTTAAATTAAATTTAAAATAATTAAAATAAAAAATGTAACAAATCTGGTTTATTGCTTTGGATTCCCATTTTTCCCATCATTAAGCCTTCAAGATACTATAACAAACTTACTTTAATTTAATCTTTTGATTTTTATTTGGATTTTAATTGTATTAATGGTGTTTTAGTTTTTTCTTTATATTTTCTTTATTGTCTTGATTGTTGTGGATACAAAAGTGGGCATAAATGCAATAATAAAAATAATACAGGTAGTCCTCCCTTACCAATTGCAGTTGGGACCAGAACTCCATCACTAGGTAACACGATTGTAAAGGGAAACATCACGTGACCATGCCCAACTTATGATGTGAGTTCTGGCTGCAGTCATTAAACAAATCACCTGTGGTCATTAAGTGTGATGTCATGTGACTGCAACTTGCAAATTCCTGCTGGCTTTCCCATTGACTTTGCTTGTCGGAAGCCAGCTATGAAGGTTGCAAGTGGTGATCACGTGACACTGGGATGCTGTGACTGTTGTAAATGCACGCCAGTTGCCAAGTGTCCAAATCACGATTACATGACCACTGGGACACTGACAGTTGTAAATCTCCTTTTTCAGCTCTGTGGTAACTTCAAACAGTTGCTGAATAAGCGGTCAGTAAATGCGGATTACCTGTGACAACAGATATATTGCTGTGAACAGAAATGTTACAAAACTTATTTAGAGTACATTAAATTAAATTTCTCCTCCAAGGAAGTAATTAGATGCAAAGACCTTATCAAACTAATTCTACTGTGCTCTTTTATTAATAATTTTGGATAGGAAATCTGTCATTATAGCAATTTTAATTTTACTTTGCTCATTAAATATACTTTGCACTAACTGAGCAATTGTTAGAAAAGTTGTTAATTGAAGACATAGTAATTTATAGGAAAGTCTGAAAATAGAATATTTTTATGTTGACTGGAGAGAGAACATGAGAGTTAGTCTGAATTCCATCATTAGCATTCCTACGATGGAATAAAGTGCCAGTAGCAAGGATTATATGTAACTGTTGGGTTCTTGGTCCTCTTCGAGCTTGTGTTCCTGCAGACGTTTCATTACCAGGCTAGGTTAGGGCTAGGGAGAGTGGAGTTTGCTGGTTGTTTATCTATTATAGCTTGCCTTACCAGTCTTGGTTGGAATATGGTTTCTTCCTTGATGGTTCCTTGATTAAGTAATGTCTTCCCTGATTTTTTATTTGGTGCCTTTTCCTGTTTAACTGGAGGTTAGTTGTTAGGGGTATGTGCTGTTTATTTCCTTCCTTGACTTTTGATTGTATCTTTTAAATGGTATGTAGATGGAATTATCTCTGTGGGTCTGTTGATAGTTGATTCATCAGAATCCCAAGCTTCCAAGAATTCCCTTACTTTTTTTTATTTGTCTTGGTCTAAAATGTCAGTTTCCCAGTTGAAATTGTGGTTGAATTTGTCTATGCATTGAAAGAGTAAGGAATTTTCATCATGTCTTCTGACTGCCAATAGATGTTCGTGGATGCATTCTGCCAACCTTCTATCTGTCTGTCCTACATAGTGGCTATTACAGTTCTTCTACTGTAAGTTGTAGATGACTCCTATTTTTTCTTCTTTGGTTACTGGGCCTTTAGGTTTGTTTAAGATGTTCTAGAGGGATTTTATTTGTTTTTATGCTACAATGATGCCAAGACATTGTAGTAGTCTATTGGTTGCCTCAGATATTTTTGATGTATGGGAGTTATCTATTTCATAGGTTGTGATGGTTGTGTTACAAAAGGTTGTATAGCTAGGTCCTTTTTAATGAAATTGCATGGATATTTGTTGTGTTTGAAGATACTGTATAGGTAGTCTGTTTCTTCTTTCTGGAGTTTTGAGTTATTGCAGGTTTTTTTCCCCCCTCCTCTGAACAATGTTCTTACAAAGCTCCTCTTGTGGGCAGTTGAGTTTTTGCATTGGTAGTGAAGGACTTTGTTAGTGTGGGTTGCTTTTCAATAAACTTGGGCGTGTAGTCTGTCATTGCTTCCTCTGCTGATGAGGATATCCAGGAAGAGTAGATTATTGTTGTTTTCTTCTCCTCTTGTAAATTTGATTCCTTTAAAAATATTTTTGATTGTGTCATGTGTCTTCTTTAACTTCTCTAAAGTTCCTTTTCTGGCTGATTGTGAAAAACTAAGCAGGGCCAGATCTGGCTGGTACTTGAGTCGAAGATCCCAGGAATGTAGGCTAGACTGGGAAATTGAAAACCATATCCTGCAATACATGATTACCGCAGCAAGACTTTTGTATGCACAATTTTGAAAACCCAGACACTACCAACAATACAAGAATGGTTGCTAAAACTGATGGAAATGGCAGA